AAAATTACATAACGGAACAAAATATAATAAATGTGTATTATTTTAAATAAATTTCTTGTACATAAACAGGCATAAAAGGGACATATTTACGTATATGAATTGTTAATTTTGAAAGTATCGTGAGTCCAATTGTTGAAATGAGATATATGTAGAAGGTTTTAAATTTTAATTTTTTAAAAAGATGTGTGCCAAAGACAATTTGCAATTTACATATGTGTTCTAAAATGTATTAAAATGTTCAGATTACATAAAACTTTTATTAGAAACTTGAATGGAATATACCACAATTCTCTAATTTATAATTTTCTCTTAAAAATTAGAATAGTTATCCTTAAACCCATTGTTTGGAATGTGGAGTCACACTACTTTCAAAATTAACAGTTCATACATACATATGTATATAAATATCATTTTACTTATTAAAAAATCCATCATTTAACATCGATGTTTATTACATTGTAAAATGATTCTTACGGCTTTTTCAATAACAGCGCTTTTGAGGCTTCAATATTGTTCTCAGCAGAGTTATTGTCGGGAACTAACAAAATACTTTCCTCATTGGCGTTATCATCCAATTTAATTTCTTCTCTTGGGTCATCAAAATTCCAATAAAATAAATTAATAATACTAAATAATTGTGGATTTGTAAATATACATGCAGTAAATTGTGTGTATAGGATTTTTAAAAATACAAAACACTTGTAATAAATACAAAAAAACTTCAAAATTACTGAGCTTAAGGTGAATGATACCGAAATAATAAAATAAAAACATAATAAAAACTTCATTCATACGTAAATAAAACCAAAATTCCCATAAAAAATGCGTTATTCGTACTATCGAACAGAAAAATTGTGACTTTATTCGTACTATAGAGTAGACAATGCAACAATTTTGCCATTCGTATTATTGGATATTCGTAATAAAGAGTATACGTACTATTGGACGTCCACTGTATATTACAAGTTCAAAATAACATGTTATTTCCCACTTTATTTATCTTTTTGTTCCTCTCATATTTCATTTTCCTATCAAGCCAATCTATTACATACATAAGTAAGACTGTATATTGAAAATTTATTTAAATATTTGTTTTGTATCCTTAACATAAAAGGTGTTTTTCTTTTGTCTAAAAAAAAGATACACAAAAATAAACGACATATATACAAAAATTTGCCCATACACCTATAAATGGAAGTAAAAACCTTTGGATGCAGTCAAAGTAGCCTAATACATATATTTAAATGGTTGAGATAGAGAATTTGTACTCTGTTCGAACCAATAGTTGTAAGGAGAACAAACACATATACAATTTTATATTTGAATGCCCTAATGTGACATGACATTAGTTATCCCAGGAAAAACTTACATTGAAAAATAATCAGTTAAAAAGCTAATAAAACCTCTTTTCACTACTTCTTCATTAGCATTTAAAGTCATTATTTTTACACGGTGATGTCATTGGAGGCAAGTACTTCTACGCACGCTTACAAATAGGGAGTTAAAGAAGTACTTGCAATTTCTCTTACAAAACAGTTGTTGAGTAAGTTGTTTTGTTTTTTAATAATAAAAAGAGCCAGCTAGAATACGAACCAGGGACTTCGGTTTGTTAGTCAAATGTTCTACACACTGCACCACTGCTTAGCTATTTTATTGCGCGTCAAATAATGGTTTTCACGAACAAAACTAATTTTGTTTTATTTTTTGTAAAACACAATTCTTAGAAAGCAATTAAATAAAATGTGCAAACAAAATGACAAAGCCGAAAATAAAGTACTTCTATATCAGATTATAAGAAAGTCATTACTAGAGTACTTCTATGTAATGCAGAGGGTAAGTAGTAGTCATTGAAAAGTAAGTGGTTATGTAAGTACAACCCATTACCGAGTTTTTGCTGGGATGCTAACGAATGAAAAATAGAAGACCAACAAAAAAAACTATAACTCAAACTTAAATAGAAAACAAAACTAATATTGGATAAAAAACAGTAGTTGTATAAATACACACATACAAAAAAACACACAAAAATTTAATGGAATTCAAAAGAGAGATAAACTAGTAGAAAAAGTAGTTTGAAATAAAGGGTGTTACAATTGGTATTTTTTTAAAAAAAACTTCTTCATGTGTCTTCAATTCGAAATAAAAATTTGTTCTACTGCAGGTATGAGTAATATTTTATCAATCATACGCATAGTGTAAAAAATTGTATATAAATTGCTAAATTTCAGCATACATATCTAAAATAAATTATAAAAAAACACAAAAATATAAAAACTTTTGTTTCGCTAACAAATATTATATTATAAATATTTTATAATATTATAACAAATATATTTATCAAAACCCTGTAAATCATTGTATATGTTTAAACATCTATACATATACTTTGTGAAACTAGAAACTTAGACAATTTTGTTTATCAACGTTTTATCCTTAATCGTTTTCGATTTGAATGTCTTCCTTAATGTGTTTCGAAAATTCAGCATAAAACTGTAGACGAAGCAACAAATATGTACCCAAAAACACATATAGACATGTAAACATCCACTCACTACTAATATGAACATACATACATATACTTACGACAGCAGTTTAAAAAGTCATTTTAATCATAAACAAATATATTTACATAATCTTAATAACTTTTCCAAAAACATTAACAAGTTAAAACTTGTCTAAAAAAGTTTAAATTTTGTAAAGTTCGAAATAGAATTCTATACGACCACTTGAAATAATCTGATCCAAACTAATCTAGAGTAAAGTTTAAAATTTTAGCTTAAACTCTACAACATTTCATATTTACGCATTAAAATCGGAAGAACAGAGATATTTTAATTACGTTTGTAATCGATACAATATTGACCCTTAATAAGAAATTGATGTTTCAAAAAAGTTTTTTTTTTTTTTTTTTTTTTTTTTTTTTTTTTTTGACACACCTTAATACAAACGTTTGTCTTTTTTCCAATAGACAACGGACACTTTATACTTAAATGATGAATAAAGTAGTAGATTGTGAATTACTAGTAAAGGGTGTCTTTTTAAGGTCGAATTAACTGAAGGGTTAAGTCTCAAACGAACGGTGTTTAAACATCAGACCAATCGATTCATGATGATTTTCCCAATATCATATATGTCAGAAAGTAACCGTAGAATGTACTTTTTGACATTTATGATCTCGGGTAAATTATCATGAATCGATTGACTTTATCACAAAATTGAGTTTAGCGATGATAAACCGACAGCAAATGACTCCTTGGAAATGTTCGAAACAATCTACCAATATTTTACGAGAAAAGCACACTCCGTCAAGAACAGCGGCCTAAAATCATTTTTAAATACCGATCTTTCGGAAAAAAACTATGTTTACTTAAAGTTACTTGTTTGACTAATTTTTACAATTTCAAGTTCTATCGGCCCTACAAAAAACACCCGATATTAGTTGGATGCCAATAGTGAATAGATGATTTGCTTTTTTTCGTTTTTTTTCGTCTGTGTATTTAGGGCTCTAACACTCTGACTTGGTTAAACTAGAGGGCAATAACACTACCATACAACAGTTATAGTCTGTGATTAGAGTTTTTCTTGTCATTTTCCACATACAGCTTCATTGAGTTTGTATTGGCACAAAAACAAAAAATAAAGATGATTTAACAACATTTTGATGATGGCGATGCCGATGATGATAATGATGTTAACTAACAGTGAAACTTGAATCAGGAGAATAAAGCAAAATAAATCTGTATTGTTACATATAAAAGTATTTGTACAGTATAGAATCCTTATAATATTGATTGTTTTGCTCGTGTCCCGGTCATAATAAAGCAAATGATGATGATGATGATGCTGCTACTTTTTTTCATAATAAGAATCGTAATCTCTTTCCCCAATAAATATTTACTTATATGTTTGTATGTGTATTTAGCCGAGTAGTATAACGAATTGAATTTCTTTTTGTCGTAGTTCTTGTTTCATTCTTTCATAAAATTTAATTAATTTCCTGGTTCTTAGCAAAGAAAAATCGATATTGTTTTGATTTTGTTTGATTATTCGATTATATTCATTCAATCGTACTCGTATACTACAAGGTGACAGTTGAAACGTATTAAGCTGTTAAGACTCTGGTAGGGAGTTTGTATGAAAATAATAAGAAAATGTGTGACATAGTTAAAGCTTATTAGCGTTTGTATGAAATTGAATTTATTTTTAGCATGATTAGAAATTGTCTTTTCATGATTTGATGAATTTTCTGTAGGCGATGACTTAGACCATTTGCCTAATTGGCATATGTTGTAGTTTATTTTTGCTGAGTGGTTTTGCTTTATATTACCACGTACATAGGCGATTGCTATAAATAGGAAAGCTCGTTCAATTTTGCAGTGTTTTCATTAGAGTATTGAATATAGTTGCAAATAACAGGACATATAAGTTTTTTAACTAATCAAATTTCATATTGTTAAATTCATTAGTCAGGAATAAAATAAATGTGTAAAGTACGTTATGCTAAGGACCATCAGTTCTAGTTCAGTTCAAGTTCAGTGCTAGTTCAGTTCTAGTTCAGTTCTAGTTCAGTACTAGTTCAGTTCTAGTTCAGTTATAGTTCAGTTCTAGTTCAGTTCTAGTTTTAGTTCAGTTTAAAAACTTTTTCATGTTTACTGCCCTAAACTTTTTAAATCGATTATTTTAAACAACATAAAAGTTTTTATTTATTTACATAACTATGTTTGTATTTTAAATGCAATGTACTCACTTAATCTTGTGTAACTAATAACAACCAAATAAATAATTCATGTAATAGCCTGCAGTATTAGCAGACTAATACATAGAAAAGTAAAAGAATTTTTACTACTTTCATGCAAATCTAAAATTGTTCCATTTTTATTTATTTTATTATACAATATGCGTATCTGCATGTCATGTTGATAAAACATTATTACCCAAAAACCAATTAATTTTCGTTTGTACTTGCGAATTTTTATTTATCTATGCTTGTATTTTATTTAATGTTTCCTTTCTATTTGCAGGTATTTGGTATAATAGTGAAAATCGTGATTGGGTTCGTATTGCCGGCCGATAGTACCCATTACACCCTGTCAAGGGGTTGAGACATACATCACTACGAAAGCCGTCATTTTCAAACATAAACAATAGCAGCAACATCAACGCTTGTCCAGCACCACCACCCACACCACACTGTGTTTGCAACGCTAACACTGTCACAGCAACAACAACATTAGCCGGAACAGGAGCAGCAACAACTGCTATTGGGGCTATAACAAATACAGACCTTTTCAATCCACCATCCACATCAGGTTTATCATTAACGAATTCCCACATTAATCAACAGCAAATAAATTACTTTGAATTTCCACCGAAAGCATCATTACTAGTCCATTCACCCCTTTCGTCGTTATCTGCACCATCGCTGGCCACAACAACAGTCGTTGCCTTAGCAGCTGCTACAGCATCAAATTCAAGTACCGGTTCTTGTGCTAACACCTCATTTACTACCGGTGCAACAGGCTGTGTATCTGCTAATAATTCACCTAAAAGTATCTATCATTATCAACATCATTCCCATACACATACACATTTACATCAACATCACCATCATCATCGTCAGCAACAAAAACAACAACAACAACAAGAGCTGCAACATCAATTGCATTATATATCACCACCGTTACAATCGCCCCCAACTCCACTAAAACTGCAATCACCCTCAGCACCCCCTACACCCACCGCTTCGCAGCCAACTTCTCATACAATTGCCATGGGCCGTAGAGAGATTAAACGTTCAAACACTAGTGGCTCAACCACCAAATCCTACGATAGTGGCAGTGGTAAGTACCTGATTCAGTTTTATAAAATATTTCTATGTTTCTTTGGATGTGCGCGTCTGTCTAACATTGTGATTGATAGTTTCCCATTATATGGTTATCTGAGTTTACAAGAACATTTGTTTGTATGGCGTCATTTTTCTTGTACATATTTGCTTTTATTGTGACTTATTGCTGGACCTCGAATGGAAAGTATAAGTATATTTGACTATTTGGGGTTTTTGTGTAGTTCTTAACTCTCTAAATGTGGATTTTGAAAGCACTTTCGTTCGGGAAAATTTAGCATGATTTAATTTTGGTTTCTTTGTAATTAAGTCCTTAAAGGACCATACAGAACGTCAAATAATTTTGTTAATATTTTTATCATAATAAGCTATAAATAAGGAAAATGTTGACTCCTATTTCGAAAAAAAAGTCAAAATCCATAAATTTATCGTAATGCTCTAAAGCTATCTTTTTGGACCAAAAATACCCTAAAAAGATTTACATTTTATGTTTCCTGTAATAAGCTTAAAATTAGGGAATTTCAAAGTCGCTTAAACATATATAGTACTTTAAAGTTTAAAGGGTTAATTACTTTCGCAACACGTAAATCTCCGGACATGAACATTTATCTTCTATTTGTCCCTCGCATCACTTAATATGCTGATGTTAAATGAATGTCTTTAGTATATTGTTAATAGCCATTATAAAATGTTAGCTCTGGCTATCGGTTGTTTTTTCTTTTATCTTTCCATTACTTCTTCAGTCAGTCATTCATTGACAGTATTAATTCATATAATTAAGTTTTTGTTTCTAAGTTATTGTTGTTTTTGTAGTTATTTGTGTTTTCTTCCTGTTGCCTGTATCCGTTTGTTTGAATTTCAAAATCCACAAAATTGCCCGTGTTAATTCAAACTAATAGAGATCTGTATGTACTATATATTTACATGCATAAACATATGCTCAAAGATTAATAAGAATTGTGTTATTTTGAAAGCATTTAATGAGTTTTCCATTATGTGTCAGTAAGAGTGACAATATTATAAATGTATGTCACGTTCTTTAAGCACTGCCATCTATAAAGGCTGACCACTGGTGGGTGGTAGTTCTATTGTGACTGATGATTTGATTCGTTTGCATAAAGGTGTAAATTGTATTTAACTTGTTTGCTTTTGGGGTAGATTAATAAATTATACTGTTACTTTAGCACTTTATTGGATGTTGTATAAAGCAGAAGGGTATATCGCCATCTTTTTTTATAATTTATAAACGGCAGAACTGATTTCCGTCTCCTGGAATATCTGAATATACCCTTACATTGCACTCCCAGGGAAAAGAGATGCTACCAATACCTCGGGTTAACCGGGCTTTCCTAATAGAGAAGTCTATTGACATTAACTCTATTTAAGTAGAGCATCTATAACCTTGTAGTGGCTATATTGGTGAGGTTATTCCCTTTGGAATACATGAGGTGTTTGCGGTTTAAATCCTAATCGCGGGAAGTGAATGTTATGTTACATTTCCCTAATTGAATTGGTTACGCGTCTAGTGTAGAGAAATGTATTGAAACAAATGTTTATCCCACCCACACTTCTGCAGTAGGTGATTTCATTATCCAATGTCAATGATAGTTGTCTGACATTACGTGGATGATATTTATACAAAAAGATGGAATTGATATGAAATTTCAGGAAAATCTCTTAGGTGTAGCCCCAGCTAAGGTGTTGGTGTACCAAGTACAATTGTTCCTTTTTGGTAAAATTCAATTTTCAAAAGAACAACGGTACTCCAATGGCCCATTTTGTATCATTTTAAATTTATTTTCCTTATTGATATAATTATGTAAAATTTCACTTCTGACTCAAAGTTCACAGGACTTAACGACTTCGCTCATATTTTTACTAAACTTCAGACGAAGAAATACTAATAACTTTCATTAAAAAAAGTAATATTTTAGGAATACTTCTAAATAGCTAAAATTTTATATAAATGTCTTTGAAGTGTAATTTTGAATAGACGTTTAAAGTACTTTTTATTAGACCTTGGACTAGTCTATGAAATGGTCTATGGTCTAGTCTATAGAGAAGTCTGGAAAGACCATCACACAGCCCGTAGATATACTAAGGAGGGATTTTTGGAAATTTATACATTTAGAGGTAAAAAACGGGTAAAACAGGTTTTCTTAATTATCATACAAAATATTAGTTATACAAGAAAGATTTTAAATGCACCTATATCTACTTTTAAAATGAGCAGATGGGTATCTGGTACTTTTTTGAAATTCGTACTTTTAAGGGATAAAAATGTGTAACAAAGGTTATTTTGGTACTTTTTTGGCCCTTTATAACTTTTTAACTAATAAACATAATAACATTTTTGTAAATATTTTGGATATATCTTTCAAAATTATGAGATACCTATTTCGTACTTTTTTTAAAATTCAGTCCTTTTTGGGTACAAAAGGGAGAAAACTATATTTTTGGTACTTTTTTTAGCACATTGAGAACATTTTCAACTTATTGACGTATACCTATTAAATAACGTATTAACTCGGTAATATTTATTAAAAAAAATATTTGCTATTTCACTGGGGAAAAAGTACCAAAAAGGGGAAAACGGGAAAGTAAATTTATTCAAACTAATTGAGCCATTTTTTTAATAATTTACTCACACAAAACAAGCTATTGGTATATTATTTTGGAATTCGGATCCTAAGGCCTATATAGGATCAAATTCGGGTAAATTGTTTGGTACTTTTTTAAAGCACAATTTTTCTATAATAAATAAATGCAGATTTGAATCGTTTGAGTTTTTTTTTATCTGTGATATATATGTAGATTCAAACACGGAATATTTTGTAAACTTCATTTCCGAAAAACTCTATTCCTAGGCGAAACAAGCGGGAAATGGAACTCATTTTAATAGGAGTTTCCACAAAGGTAGAATTGATTCCACTTTTGGTACTTTTTCTTCAAATGATACTTTTTGTATGTTCTATAATATGAAACCAATACACATGATTATTAAACATAGACGGTCCTTATTTAATAAGATTCTTTAGAATAGAACTTTTCAGTACTATTTATCTTTCACATGGTACTTTTTGAATTTTCTAAAATATTCAACCTAGAAACATACATTTGAACATGCATATGAATAATAATCTGTAAGTGGGGATTCTTTGGTACCTTTTGGATTCTCTATAATGGGGAACCGAACACATGACACACGGAGCTTATTAATGAGAATTTATTGAGAGATATTTTTGCACTTTTTCGTTTTTCAGAAATATACAATTTAATATCTATATAGGGACCTTAGTGAATAAGAATCTAATAAAATTTTTGAATTCACTGTAATATTGAACACAGAAACATTTTATTGAAAGATAATCTCTAAGAGGTATTTTATAGGATTTTTTCCTTCTTCAAATAGTACTTTCGAAATTTTCTATAATTTGGAAGCTAAACTAGTGAAATTAAAAATACACACTACTGAATGCGAATTTATTCACGTGATAAATCTCAATAATTTAGAACACAAACATTAAAGAAACTTTTAATTGATTAAAAATTTTGTAAAAAAAAGTAATCAACATTTTGTGTGTATTTAATTTTGGTTAGAGTAGCGAAGCACCCAGGGTATTCTAGCTAATACTATTTTAATAAATTTCAATGAACTCTCATAGTCAAGAAAATTAAATTTATGATCTAATAAATAAATTAACTACATTCAAGTAAATATTTTTAGATTACAACAATCATTATAAAAATCTAAAAGAAAATAAACTAGCAATATTTAGGATTATTTAAATAAGATTTTAACTGTCCATTTCTATATTCCCCCCAACAAATTTGACAAAAACTGCTATCAAATGTGTGTGTTTTTTTATGTTTCAAAAAGATTTTCAAATTCAATTAAGAAATTAAGAAACAAAAGTAATAATGAAGAAATTTTATTTTTCATAAATTTCAATAAACTTTAATACATACTTAGTCGGCTAAATTACATTTATGATCATCTCTATTCACAAATAATAAATAAATTGCCTACAAAAAACATAGCAATAATAACATTCATATAAATATTTTTACATGAAAGCAATAATGTTTAATTAAAAGCAAAAATAATAAAAGTTAAAACGCAAATAAACTAGAAATATTTAAGGTTAAGTAAATAAGATTTTATCGGACCAAAGAGCCACACAGTGAAATACACCCCCAAACTAAGATGTTTTCACAAGTGAAACATTATTTGGTCTCAAAGACATTTACTAAATACCCATGTTTAACTACTAAATACTGAGAAAATCATGGTCAAACAGTTCAAAGAAATACACATACAATTCCAACTACACGTGTAAATAGTCTAACTAATATGAAAGACCTACGATTGCTGCTACTGTTCCCATTCCCAAAGACAGCAGACATTTACGGTTGATGTCAAGGCAAATAAATGATTTTGTTTTTCTTCTGGCCTACCACCTGTGGAGGCAAAGTAGCCAACCTATAACCACCATCAAACTTTGCCACAAATGCTGTGACATGGTATGTAGTATCAACAATAAACATTGGAAACTTTATAAGAAAATACTTACATTTAAACATTTGTGGCATATTTATGTATGGGTCTGTATGTGTGTGTGTTGCAAATATTTTAGGGCACAGCTTGTTCAAACCAAACTCTAACCAACAAAATGACATACAAATACGCATTAAACATTTAAACATCCATTTCTAAATGCTGTAAAGATCTAAGTTGGATTTAACAACAATTAACTTGTGTATACCAGTTCGATGTATGTATTTTACTTTGGACCACAACTACAAGTAGTAGTAAAAATATACAAATTATCAGCAATCCAACTATAGAAGAGAAGTATAAATTATGTTTGAAATTCTTGTTCAAGACACTAATTGACATCTGGGGCATTAGGGTGATTTTCTTTGTTGTATGTTAATTGTAACAGGCTCCGCACAAAGCAAAAAATATCAGCAACTTGCTGTTTAATGGCAACTAGT